TGGGGAAATTTTTACATGAACTCAGTACTCAGTGAAGGAATTGTTGACTTTGTTAGTTGGGATAGTGTAACATTTTAAGTCCTTATTTGTTATAGGTGCATAATAAATATTTTTGTATGAAATGATATATGTGAAATATGCTTTAAAATGCTCCAAAAAATAGTTAGGAAATAGTTGGGAAAAGTTGGTAAAATATTGGTAATTATAGGTTCATTATATAATTTCTCTATTTCTGTTTTTTATTTGAAATGTTTCATAGTAAAGGCATTTAAAAATAATGAAAGTATGTTTCCTCCTCCCTGGTCAAGTGCTCTCAAAATCTCCAAATCAGAAAATGTACACAACTATATTTTTTCAAAATGTAGAAATGTGAATAGTAGCAATTTAATTTCTTTTAAGAAATGAAGTCCGACCTACTTCTTTTAGGTGAAAGTGAGCTGTCTTATCTCAGAACTTTGCAGCACTGCACTGGGCTCTTTTCTGGCACTTGTTATTTCTCTCTTGCTTTATTTAGAGTGTTTGTCTAATTAGTATATTAGACAAACTAGCCTAACTAGCCCCTATGGACTGTGAAGAGAGGTCCCATGAAGCGTGCTCAGTAATGGTTATCGACTGCATGGGTTGGTATTGAAATAATAGAATCGAGATCATGAATCCCGTTGGCCACTTATATAAGTGTTTCCATCAAGTTCATGGATGGTAGCCTGCTCAAGTTCATGCATAGCAGCCTGCCAGTGTATAGAAACCCTACTGCTTTATTGGTGATGGTATTTGTGCCCTGGTCTTAGCAAGCATGTCTAACTGTGATAACTTTCTCTTATGGAATTGCCTTTGCTTTCTTCTTCTCTAAAGCTTTTCTCTTACATCCAAGGCAACTTACTCTGTCACAGCCTACCTATGCTCCTAATTTTCCCATACTTACTTTGGGTTCCTCCCTCAACTAGTCTATTTTGATCAGAAGTCAAAGTTGATCACATTTCAAAATTCTCATTCTTACGTGTTCATCCTTCTCTTTCTACTCATCCTGCCCATTGAGTTCAGATTAGTTTGTACATGTGATATAAACCAAGTGATCATCTGAATTGTCTCCCAGAAAGGAGAGCATCCAGTTTCCTTAGGTCTTACTCTTCAGTGGAATCTTTATGGGTCACAAGCAAAGGACTAAAGCATGACATTGAAGTCAGTAGAGTAAGGTATGCCATTTAAAAATGGTCATTTGTTACATTTTTAAAGGCCTTTAGTTAACCATGAAGTACTATATTTGAGTATTTTTATAATAATGCCAGACAACGGAGGAGAGAAAACAGCAAGATTAGGTACAATAATAACTAAATATAAAAACAGAAAATGCTTTTTTGAGGAGATACAAACATGACAAGTTGGCATAGATTCTTTACGGCTTTTAAAAATATTTCTAAATTATTGCATGATTCAGTTTTTAAAATTTCTACTTTTTAATTTCTTATGACTATAGTCACTTTTTAAATTTTTTAAATTATTCAATTATAGTTGACATTCAATACTATAATAGTTTCAGGTGTATAACATAGTGATTAGACAACTATATAACTTACAAAGTGATCACCCCAATAAGTCTAGTACTCACCTGACAGCATACACAGTTATTACAATACTGTTGACTATATTCCTTATGCTGTACTTTACATCCCCATGAATATTTTTATAACTGGCAATCACGTTTTACAAGCTAGGAAAGGGAATCAAATTAAGCCAGTCTGGCCCTCTAGTGACCTGGGCCAGAATCACTTAGTTTTCAGTAGAATTATGTAATTATTTAAGTGCTAACAAAGAGAGTATAAGATTCTCAATCTACATTTTTCATTAGGAAACAACCAAAAAAAAAAAAAAAATCCACTCCTTAAAGGCACATCTTGATCTACAAAGGATAGAATGACCCAAAGGATATGCTTGCCAGTTTATATGGAAAGCATATAAGGAGCTGGCCAATGATTGGTGAGGGAGGAACTATTTTGAAAACTGACTCTGAGGTTTTAAAAGCTCTGGTTCTGCTGTCAGTAAGAAAACAAGTGAAAAAAATTACAGAACTGCACTCAAATTGGTCACTGATCTAACCAGGGTCTACCACTTAGAATACAAAGTGAAAGAGACATATTGGAACTAAGATACCTTAGACATTTCCAAAATAAATTACTTAGTGACAAGAAATCCAACCTACTGCAAGTTTTCTTTGCCACAAGAACAAATTTGGGACTGTTTTTTAGAGAAACATTTAACGGAAAAGGGTGCTGGTAAGTGTCCACCACTGAAAAACCCATGGCTTCCCCATAGTTAACATGCTGTATGTATCCATCCAGGCAGGGAGATGAGAGCTAGAGCATATCCTTGTTTGCTCAGTTATCAGCTTTTGGAATGGACCCATTTGGCCATTACAGTCGAGCTATAATTTTGATAAACATCTGCAATTTGCCTGTAGGCATTGGCTTCTGCCCAGTATCTTAAAGCTTGATCGGTCCTGTCAGTGACCTCTCCTCCTAGGAGCGTCCCCTCCGAGGTTTGCCTAGCAGGCGATTGGCCAGATGAACCGTGGGAGCATGGGGAGCTTCCTTGCTGAACCAGTGACCTGAAAGTACCCAGCAGAAATGTCAGGGTGGGGCAGCCTCTGTGGATCTTAGGCGGGCCCTTCTTAAACCGAGGCAAGCGCAGCTGCCATCTGTGTCCCTCACGGCCAGCCTGGGGACACCTCTCCAGCTGGCGTGAGGTGGCCTCAGTCCACAGGGCTGTGTGCACTGAGCCACAGCATCTGCTGTCCCCAGAGTGCCACCCCCACGATGGCACAGACCTTACTTGCTTTCACAGGTACAGATTTAAGGTTGGTTTGTCTAAAGTAGGGGGAGAAAAAGTGTCTAAGATAGTCTTTAAAGCCCAGTAGTTTCAAAGTGCAACTTAGAGATGTCACTCAGAAGTGACATTTTTCCATGTCTACAACTTCCCTTTCAATTTGATTATCTTTTGAAATGAACTTTTTCATAAATGGAAAATATTTCCTGTCCAGCCAGTGTAGGTCAGTGGTTGAGCAGTGACGTATGAACAAGGAGGTCACGGTTTGATTCCGGTCAGGGCACATGCCTGGGTTGTGGGCTCAGTCCCCAGTGTGGGGTGTGCAGGAGGCAGCAGATTAATGATTCTCTTTCATCATTGATGTTTCTATCTCTCTCTCCCTCTCCCTTCTTCTCTGAAATCAATAAAAATATATTTTAAAAAAATAAAAAGTATTTCCTGTGTATGTGTTTATTTACTTTCCCCCACTTAGGAACCTCGTTTTGGTTTTAAAAGCAAGTTTATTCAACTGTATTATGAAGTCCTACCACTGGGAGATGATATAGGACATTAGGACATAAACAGTGGTATTTCATTCAGGAAATGCCCCCAGGATTCTGAAACCTTCTTTTAATGTGCCTTTGGTGTAGGTGATACCTCATCTGTGCTGATCCATGTAACAAATATATTTGATGCTGTATAATATATACATGTGCCCATTTGAATCTCCAGTCTGATGTACAGACAGGTAAAGCCATTATGACAGTGCAGGAGTGAAGTGTATACAGAGGGCAGACAAATCAGATCTGCAGGATCCCAAGACTCCCTGGACCTCCCTGTCGAGACTTGAAGGATGAATAGGAGTTAGATTCCATTTGTTGGTAAGGTGGATATATTCCAGGCTGAAGGGAAGAGTGTATGCAAAGGGCAGACACCAAAGAAAGAAGAGCACATTTGAGAAACCGAGCGTAGGATAGCCCAACAGAAACTGTCTTAGCCCATCCACGTGCTTATCAGATTAAAGACATCCTCCCTGTGCAGACTGAAGCCAGGCCAGCCGAGGGCCTGCTTCAGTATGCTACTCACTGCTGCTGCTCTCGTCGATGGAGTTATATCCTTATCCAGAGTCAGTGGTGAGGGCATGACCCCAAACCTGATTATGGCAGTTGTATTTATTATAACTACGGAGCTTATTAGCTATATAAACAAATTAAATGCAAGTATAAGACTAAAAAGAGACTCATGTCTATGAAAACTAAATTGAACACTTTGGAGAGATTCAATAAAAGTGAGTTGCTAAAAAAAGTATTTTCTGTCAAATTAGATGAGAATTGAGAGTTTCATAAATTGGAAAAATCAAAGAATCTGTACTCAGAATGCTTCACACTGTCTGTGGTTACTGCTGTATTTTAAAGAAGCTAGAACTGGAACTCATGCTTGACACATTCTGGGTGTGGCCTACGCAAGAGAGAACGCAGAATTCCAGTTAGTAAGTTTAGTATAGAGGTGTCTTTTTTGCTTAGCTGTGTTGTTTTTCTGACTTTTATAGCTGAAAATTTCCCATAAAATCTAGAACTAAATAAAAATATTTTTGGTTGGAATATTAAAAAAATTATTTTGGGTTTATTTTACTATATCTGAAAGCTCAACATGATTGTGTGTTAATTTTACTAAATATTTTTAATATGTTTTTATTGATTTCAGAAAGCGGAAGGGAGAGGGGGAGAGAGAGAGAGAGAAACATCAATGATGAGAGAGAATCATTGATCAGCTGTCTCTACGTGTCCCCTACTGAGTTAAGGATCGAGCCCACAACCCAGGCATGTGCCCTGACCTGGAATCAAACCATGACCTCTTGGTTCATGGGTTGATGCTCAGCCACTGAGCTACACCAGCTGGGCCTTTACTAAATATATTTGAAAGAAGCAGTAATGTTACGTATACATCAGAAAGTTCTATTCCTTGATGATGTAATATCCCAACATTTAGGAAGTGGGGGGAATTTAATCCTAAGTGTTTATGCCATTTCAACTTTGATTTTTAAAAATTAAGTAAATTGAATTATAAGAAATTACTGGAGCACATTTTTTGGAAAGTCTTGAAACAAAATTAATAAAGTTATTAAAAACACTTTAGGTTTAGATTTTACTTCAAAACAAAGAAAGGGTTTTTTCCCCCATTTTTGTTTAATTTATCTTCATTGTTGAAAGTATTACAGATGTCCTTTGTTTGATTTGATTTTTTTTTTTAAGGCATTAGCAGTACTGTCCTCACTAGACGTTCATTGGATAGTAACACAACCCTAAGAAAAGAATGGTTGATTTTTTTTCCCCCATTGACCCCCTCCACCCTGCACCCTCCCCTCCTAGGCCTACACCACTCCATTGTCTTTGTCCATGGGCTATGCATATATGTGATATAAGTTCCCTGGTAAATCATTCCCCCCTAACCCCCACCCCCAGTTTTTCTCCTTTACCTTAGTATTTTTTGTTGTTGATCCTACTTCTAATTTGTTAGAAACAACAAATTTACCAATAGTTCAGTTAAAAACAGTTCAGAACATATTTCTGTTTTTTTCCTCAGTATGTTTAATAGAATAATACGTTAAGAATACTTGATTGCTAGACCTAATGAGTTAGACAAGGAAGGGGACTCATACAATGATTCTGGCATTGTTCTATTGCAGTTATTGTTAAGAAAGTTAATTTTGTTATTAGCAGACCTTTGGGTCAAAAAAACACAGTTGAATCCCAATCTTCTCCTGACTAGCTCTGTAATCTTGGGTAAGTTACTTAACCTGAAAGTCTCAATGTCCTCTTTTGTCCTAGGAGATATTATGTTATACACCCACAGATAAGTGAGAATGACCTGGTACACAGTAAGCGTGCAGTAAATATTAGCTGCAATTACTACAAAGAACTAAAGGGAAGCATTAATTACACAGGGAGCAAGGGCAGTAGTGAGCAGTGAGCATGTTTACAGCCAGAGTTCTGAGTTACTTATTTAACTGCACTAACCACTTTAACCATAGATGAGTCACTTAATCTAATGAGTAAAAAGCCATAGAGCACCAGGAGTATATATAGAACAATAATCTGTTATTATTTTGTTACTATCCCAGTATAGGTTAAACAGATTTAAAATGCAGACACTGAGGTTATTAGGGGGATGGGGGGGATTTTCAACTGAATCTTTTCTTTTGATTCTCTTGACTCAAAATGTTTTTGAAATTATTTTAAACACACCATAAAACCTTCTTGTCTGATCTCTTATGCTTAGATTATCTTTTTCTGCATTAGATTTTCTTTCTTTTTTTGTTCATCTTTACCCGAGGATATTTTTTCCAGAGAGAGTGGAAAGGAGGAAGGGAGGTAGAAAGATAGATAGAGAAAGAGGGAGAGAGAGACACATCAATTGTTGCCTCCTACATGTGCCCCGACCGTGGCCGGGGATTGAACCTGCAACCTTTGGTGTGTGGGCTGATGATGCCTTAACCACTTAGAAACACCAGCCAGGGCTCTGCATTTGATTTCCAAAAGTTTTCTTTCAGTAATGGATCAGAGAAAATAGGAAATCAGATCTTACACCTTTATCACCTGTTACAAGTGATAGTAACAGAATTCTTGGGAAAGCCGGTTGAAGTATTGGTGACATAACTCTTTGATTGTCAGGTTTGGATGTCATGGGTCTGGCCTAGTTCTCTTCTCCCTTTCCCATGTCCCTTTATACTCCATTACCAAGAAGCATTGGCGTCGTCGGCTGTATTTATTTGTAAAACAAGATAATTCAGTTAGCTTGTCTTTAGGCAGGTACTTTGGTAAAAATGTTTTCCTAACTGCTAACACTGCACATTAAAATCACTCCCTTCTGTCTGTGCTGTTGAGATGAGCGTGGATCCCATAGTCAGGAATTTAGAAATTAGAAAGGGTTCTGTATATAGAAACAAGTATAACAAATAAAGTACTGAGCATTTTCCAGCAAACTCTTGACATTATTATCTTCTTACAGTTAACATATTCTCAGTTCTAAAACTTGTATTTGTTCTAATCTTTCTAAACTACTAGAGTCTTCAAAATATCATGCGTCTAATACTACATTCCAGAAATTGGATTTTAAAAGTCAGGGAAAGGAGAGCAAGAGATCTAAACAACTGGCAAACAGCCACCAAGTGCCCGTACTCTGTACATTTTACTTGCTTTACAAACAAGGGATCCAAGACTTAAAAATGTGCAGTAATTTTCTTCTCTCTATTAAGCAAGATTTAAGTCACAGTAGTGTAGCTGGTGTCCCAACCAGGTCAGACTGGCTCGAAAGCCTAGATTGGTTTCCACTGTCGAGGTGCTGTGCTTTTCTGTCACAAACCACAAAATTATTCCACCTATCTGCAAAAAGTATACTTGTTTGGCAGGTTTAAAGAAGATGCCTTCCTGAAACTAAAGTTATATGTCAGTTATATCTCATTTTTACAAAGATCACACCTTAACAATTGCCTTTTATTAAAACAAAGAAAGTGAAACTCATCTAATACCCATTTTGTTCTTGTTATGTTTGAAACATGCTCAGTCCTAAGGACCCGAAGACAAATAGATACAGGCAAGGTGAACTGCGTTCTAGGCCTTGAGGATGACAGCCATGTGTGCTCCCAGAGAGCAGGAAAAGCAGTGGTCCTATAATTACGGCAGCACCTGTCTTTTAAAAGATGACTTTATATTTGCTTTTGAACTTACCTAAAAGTTCTAGTCAGTGCCCAGGAATACTATCTTTTCTGGAATCATTTTTAGGGTGGTTGGGGCATGGGAAGGTGTAAAAATGATGGGAGAATGTACTGAAGCCAATGAGAACAAGTTTTCCATTATTTTCTGTGTTCATGTTCACATAACCCCAGGTTGAAAGAAATACCTTTGAAGATACAGAAAGAGGCACACATTCATCCTCTGGCTTCAAGTGCACACTGCATGGTTCTCACCCAGCGTGTCCTTGTAACCCTGCCCCATTTCCTGAGTGCTCTGTGATTGGGCCTTCCCCTTGTGGTAAGGCGCTTGGCTGCTGACTGAGGTTTCAGTAAGACATAAGTGGAGCCTGCCCAGCTGGTGTGGCTCAGTAGTTGAGCAACCACCTATGAACTAGGAGGTCATGGTTCGATTCCCTGTCAGGGCACATGCCCAGGTTGTGACTCAATCCCCAGTGTGTGTGTGTGTTGGGGGTGGGGGGCGCGGAGAGAAGGGGGATGCAGGAGGCAGCCAATCAATGATTCTCTGTCTCACCCTCTCCTTTCCTGTCTGAAATCAATAAAAATATATTTTTTAAAAAAAGACCTAAGTGGAGCCTGCCTTCCCCATACATGAGTAGGCAGTATTCTGAAACTGGGTGCAGTTGCACATCAATGTGTGCTAGAAAATGTTGTATGTTATGTCTGTGTTATATTTTTTCTGGAAAATAATGTAATTGTGACCTGTAAATTAATAATGCTTGTTTTTAATCCACTCTGGATACACAATTATTTATGCTAATGAACAAGGGAGCTTTGGTCTGAATAACTATAGCCAAGTCCTGTTAAGTAATCCCCCATTCCAGCCCCATATTGGCCATGGGGCAGCACATGAGTGTACATCAAACCCTTGCTATGTAACTCTTGATTCTGGGTAGTCGTGACATATAAGGGAACTTGGACTGGGGCTCAGTCCAGCCAAGGGTAAGGGAGACCCTTGATTCTTGGCTGATGTGATATCCATCCTTAAGCCCATTTTCTAAAATTGACAGTAGTGCTATGCCAAAGAGTAGGATTATTCCTGCTAACCTGTGCCTGTCCTATAGCCCTTGGCAGTGAGGCTGTGACCAAACCTAGTGGGGACATAAAGTTCCTAAGCTGATCATAGGTTAAGGACACCTCTGTACCACACAGAGAGGTTACTACTTTGGTGTGAAGCATTGGCAGCGGGGAAACTTTGGTTGATGAGCAGATAACCAATGCTAGGGATCTTTCTACATAAAGTAGCAAAGTGGTCATATGAAAAATTCCATACCACATTGTACTTAAAATAAGATGATAACAGAAATTCGGAGCTAAATGGAATTTTAATGACTACCTAGTCAATCTCAAGAAGCAGTCCTGGAGAGATAGGTCCAGTGGTTTGTGTTTGAGGCACCATTACTAACTTAACTCCCTGACAGTTTTAGGGTATTTCTTTCCATATGTATGTATGGAAACATATATAAGTCTTTGGGCCACTTTGCTGAAAATTTCTGTATCTATAGAATGAAAATGATCATAATATCTATTTGTTTTCAATTTTTATCCTGTCTGATTTCTAGATATTTGATATTAATATATAATTTGGATTTCTCCACTCTCCTTTGGGATTAATGCCTTTGCTTAATTCTTTCAGTGTTGCCAGTAAGCAATGATTGTGACTTCCCAGTCCTATCCAGGTAGTAGAGTGGTTGGTATCTTATCCAAGGAGAAGAGATTAGTGCATATGTTGGAGGGGGAGGGGTTTAAGACTTCAACTCTGCTTACGAATTTTGTTGCAGTTTTCTTACTGGCTCTCATCACTAAAAAGTTTTTTAAAAGCTCAAAGTCAAACCTTTGTAGCTTCTTCCAAAAATATCTTAGAAGGGTTGTTGGTTCGACATCCTTTGAGAAGTTGCCTCATTTAAATACAGTGTTTGTGTATTTACTTTTCCACTTTTTGTTTTGAGTGTACTGTAAAGTACATTTATTTAGTGAATGCCTTCGTTTTAAGATCTTAAAATCCAAAGGATCTTACTCTAGTGCCCTGATCCCATCTCTGGATTTAGAAAAAGTCCTTGGGAGACAAAGCTGTTCTCCTGTACCAGCTGCCAGTGAAAAGTGAAAGTAAGCAAACAAACCGTTGGGGTGAGACTAAGGAAATGTGGCAAAGTGATCTTTTTCTTCGTGAAAACTTGCAATTTTAACCAAAAAGGAGGAGGAGAAGAAGAAAGCAAGTAAAAGAAAACACTGGATTTTATTTGCCTCCTGTTGGAATTTAAGCTTTGTTAGAAAGGATACCCATCACAATTAATTCCCCCTTTCCACTGCTTTGTATCTCAATGTTCAGCATTTCACCTCTTCATCCTGAATTCTTCCCATTCATTCCACTGTCTTCATTAGCTTTTGACTTGATGAAAAAGTCTAGCAGCATTCAAGATGTTGCCTCAGAGCAAAGAGTTTTTTGACTTTCCTAGAACAACACTTCTGAAACAGGAATGTGCATTTGCATGCCGTAGATCAGTGATGACGAACCTTTTGAGCTCGGCATGTCAGCATTTTGAAAAACCCTAACTTAACTCTGGTGCC